AGCTGTGACTGATTTTAGCCAGAGGGTGATGCACCATCGTTCTTGACCGAGACAGGAGACGTACAGTAAGCATCACTACAGGCCATTAGCATGCTTTGCATTCTTGTGATCTTGAATTGTTGGAAACATTATAGTAGTTCGGGACCTTCTTTGGGGGAAAAAACCAGGTCTGATGTTTCTGATCAGGCACCTGCTGCCCTGTGGATCTGTGACACCGTCTCCATTTACATCATCAGAATTTCACTGGGAGGTCAAATCAAGGGAACAGCAAGAGTGGGGAGTGGGAGGGAAGGAGGGGGGAACAACTAACCTAACAGGTGTCCAGGGAACGCTGTGGGTGACAGCACAGAAATGTGAACACTGCTGTCAGTGTAGTGGCCTGAGAGCAGGTGGTGAGGATGGACGCTTTCCAGGGCTTGCCTTATTTTTTGTAATTCCTGATGCTGCCTAGCGTTTGCTATAAGCATTGTGTGTATGCAGATGTTATATGGCAATGTCCAGTGTATTTTATTACGATGTTTTAAGAAGTATTTTAATAAAAAGACATTACTGGTTCATCGTGTGTTCTTTCTCAAGATGTTCTTATGGCAAATGTTACCAGGAAGCATATTGCAAAAGTTACTCATCTTGATGAATAGAGTAATACAGAGAATTAGCTCTTCAGCCTTTTACCCCCAAAACTAAAATTGTAGATTTGAGTTTTTCAGTTACATAAATTAATAAAAAACAATTTTACTAATAGTCAAAATGTTCATTCTGACAAGTCTAACGGTTTTGGAAAGCTGTTTATTTAGTCTTACCCATCTTGCAGGAAAAATCATGATTTATTTTGGGGCTCATATTTCACGTACATCTGGATACCATCAAACCATCACCTACATAAGTGCTTTAGAACAACCTTTCTGTCTTCATAAAAGGCTATCAGGTCGTCAAACATGACTTCCCCTTGGAAAAAACACGTTGACTGCTCCTAATGACCTCTTATCCTTGATATGCCTACAGATGGTGCCGAGGATAAGTTGTTCCATTACCTTTCCTGGGATGGAGGTGAGGCTGACCGGTCTGTAGTCACCTGGATCTTCCTTCTTGTCCTTTTATAAGACTGGAGTGACATTTGCTTTCCTCTAGTCCTCAGGCACCTCTCCTGTCACCCACAACTTACCAAAGATGATGGAGAGTGGCCTAGCAATGGCTTCTGCCAGCTCCCTCAGCACCTGTGGGTACATCCCATCAGGGTCCATAGATTTATGGATGTTCAGATTGCCTAACTGATTCCTAACCCAGTCCTCATCAACCAAGGCAAACTCTTCTTTTTTCCTGACTTGCTCAGGGGTCTGGGAGACTGACAGTCTCCAGCAGTGCAGACAGAAGCAAAGAATGCATTCAGCAACTCTGCCTTCTCTGTGTCCTCTGTCACCAGGGCACCCACCTTATAACACTAGTGGGCCTACATTGCCTCTAGTGTTAGTTTTATCTGCAATATATTTGAAGAAGCCCTTTCTGTTGTCCTTGATCTCCTTTGCAAGGTTTAATTCCAAGGAGGCCTTAGCTTTCCTAGTTGCCTCCCTACATCCTCTGACCACAGTCTTATATTCCACCCAAGTGGCCGGCCCCTCCTTCTGTGATCTGTAGACTCTCCCACTTGAGTTTGCCCCAAAGTTCCCTGTTTACTCATGCGGGTCTCTTGGCTCTCTTTCTTGATATTCTACCTGTTGGGATACACTGCTCTTGAGCTTGGAAGAAGTGGTCCTTGAATATTAACCAACTCTCTTGGGCCCCTTTACCTTCTAGTACCCTGTCCCAGGGGATTTCCTCTAGCATGTGATCTGTAGACTCTCCCACTTGAGTTTGCCCCAAAGTTCCCTGTTTACTCATGCGGGTCTCTTGGCTCTCTTTCTTGATATTCTACCTGTTGGGATACACTGCTCTTGAGCTTGGAAGAAGTGGTCCTTGAATATTAACCAACTCTCTTGGGCCCCTTTACCTTCTAGTACCCTGTCCCAGGGGATTTCCTCTAGCAATTTTTTGAAAAGGCCAAAGTTGGCCCTGCAAAAGTCCAGAGTTGCGATCTTGCTTGGTGTTCTTTTCCTACTGCACAGGATCCTGAACTCCAACATCTCATGGCTGCTGCAGCCAAGGCTGCCCTCAACCTTCACTGCTTCAGCCAGACCTTCCCTGTTGGTGAGCAGAAGGTCCAGCAGCGCTCCTCTCGTAGTTGGCTCATCAACCATTTGCATCAAAAAGTTATCACTGATGCACTGGAGGAACCTCCTGAATAGTGAATGGCTGGCTGTGTAGGCCTTCCAGCAAATATCTGAGTAGTTAAAAATCCCATGAGAACCAGGCTCTGTGATTGAGAAGCTGCTCTTAGCCATCTGTAGAAGGTCTCATCAACTTCCTCATCCTCATCAGGTGGTCCGTAATAGACATCCACCACAGTATCACTCATACTACCCTGCCCCTTAATTCTCACCCACAAGATCTCAACTCACTCCTTATTCTCTCCTGGACAGAGCTCAGTACATTCCAGTTGTCTCTCACGTAAAGAGCAGCTCCACCATCTTGCCTTGTTGGCCTGTCTTTCCTAAAAAGGACAGAGCCATCCATGACTATATTCCAGTCACAGTGGTGAGCTGTCCCACCATGTCTCTGTAATTGCCACCAGATCATAACCCCTTGACTGCACACAGATTTCTAACTCCTTCTGTTTGATGCCCGTGCTGTGTGCATTCGTGTAGAGGCACTTCAGCTGGGCTGTCGGCCATGTCACCTTCTTGGCGGAACACACCTTATTTCCCTTGAGGTGTTCTGTGAATGTTTCCCAGCTCGCCTCAGAGTAACCAGTTAAGGCCCTTACTAGCACCCGTCCCTCTAACCTTGGTGTGTCATCCCACAGCCTGATATTGTTATCGCCCTTCCCCTTTGCAACTAGTTTAAAGCCCTGTCGATCAGTCCTGAAATCTCTTGGGCGAAGACCCTCTTCTCACTCTGGGAAAGGGGACTCCCATTTGAGGCTAGCAAGCTTGGTGCTGTGTAGGCCATCCCATTGTCAAATAACCAGATGTGGTGGTGACACCAGCCGTGGAGCCACATAGTAATAGACTGGATTCGCCTTAATCTCCCAGTGTCACTGCCCATGACTGGAAGAAATTAGAACTTAGAATTAGAATTTAGAAATTAGAATTTGTGCTGCTTGCATAGGAAAATATAGGTCAAAAACATTGCAAAGAACAAAGCAAATCCCTTTCAGACAAATCAAGATGTAAGGCTGCTGAGACCTGATTTTTCTTATATCCTCTTCATTGCCTAAGTATTTTTGTATTGTCTTCCTACTGCAAAGATCTTGGAATCGTGTGACTCCACAGTAGTGCTCATGGGAAGGTATAGGCAGAGTTCAGTGTCATAAATCTCTTCCAGCTCTCTGCTGCTGTGTGGTACTTATTTATATATAACATTCTTTTTCCCCTGAAGGCATTAACTACTCTAATTCTTTGAGGCTTTCTGTTGTATATTCAGGCTCTCATTGTTTCGCATGTGTGTTTCTGTACGTGGCCAACCAGTTTCGTTCATGAGGTACACCTGACTGCTGCGTATTCCTTTATTGCTAATCGTTATTACATGGTAAGTCTAAAGGTATCCTGGGATGGTACAGCCTGTATACACTCCTATCCTTCCAAGCTAACCTCAGCACCAGAACTGGCTTTATTGAAGTAGCAGCATAACTGAGCAGGAATAGGAAGAAATTATTCATTCATTAACACAGCACTGCCTTTTTAATTATTTTTTTTCTTCCCTGACAAAATGCTTTCTAAAACTCTCCATGATTTTTACTTTGTTTATAAGGTTCAGGTACATCAGCAAGACTGAATTTCAAAGCAGAGAGCTTTCCACTTCAGAATCCTTGATTGACTTCATCCTTGAACATAGTAAGAATTTACAGAGTGAATGTGGGGCATAGAGAGTATAGGAAAGTGCCTTGGTT